CGAAGGGACCCTTAGGGGCGAAGAAAGTCATTGATCGAGTTCCTAGTCCACATTTCAAGCGCCCTTACATTAGATGGATTTGTGCGCTATATAAAACTACACTATTATTATTATTATTAAAAAATTAATGCAATGTGGTTTGTATTTCATATTTATTTATTTTTTTTTAAGATTATGGTTCATATCATTGATGTAAACGACAACCCACCAGTATTTTCTCACAACGTGTTTACATACCTTAATGTCAACGAGAATCACGACATAGCAGATCCCATAGGAAGAGGTACGGTATAAATTCAAAAGTATATTAAAGCCAGGCTCAGGAGGAAACTTTTTTTTTGTTTGTTTTAGAACTGATTTTTCTAAGACACAAAAAGCATATTTGAGGGAAAATTGGAAGCGGTTAATGAGATACAGATTTTTTGAATATTTAACTAAGGAAAAGGGGGCATAACCACTCTTTTTTTTTAACTGTTCCCCCAGTTTTTAGATATTCAAAAATCTGTATCTCATTTACCGCTTCCGAGTTCTTCGTCAAATATGGTTTCTTGTCTTAGAAAAATCAATTCCAAAACACATTAAAAGATATTTTTCCTCCAGAGCATGGTTTTAACACTGTTAAATTGTGTGCGCAACATGCACTTACAAAAACGATTTTTCTTTTTTTCCCAGTTCAAATTTCAGATCCTGATGCTGATTTAAATGGAGCATACTATGTATCATGTAATTCGTCTCTCTTCCGCGTGGAGCAAGGGGGTGATGTATATTCCTTACATCAGCTGGATTATGAGACTCAACACCAACACCGAATTCAGGTTACAGCTACCGACCTTAGAGGGCGCTTTAGTTGTGCATACTTTGTAATTTCTGTCCAGAATATTCATGATGAGAAACCAATTTTTTCTAAAAAGTTTTATCAATTTGAAGTTGATAGAAATGCAACAACTGGATATCATATTGGCCAAGTTTTTGCCTATCATCCTAATGGTAATGCACTCCAGTTTACCATGAAGTCTGGAACTGCATCTCCGTATTTCAAAATGCAACAGGAAACAGGTAGGCACACACACACACACACACACACACACACAAAGAAAAACGTTAGGCCTACTCTTGTTAATCAATAAAACACAAACAAAAAAAAAACCATACAGAAAACTAGTGTTGTCACTCCATAGAATGCATACCTGCGTTCTGTACCTGGATACCGAACAATGCACAGGTCATGGCCGTGTATGGGCGATTCCATTGTTCTCCTTAATGGTCGAGGGTAAGTTCAAAAAGAGGTGGATGATCAAATTTTCCCACATTAATCATCTCTTTCTTAGATTATTATGTACCATTCCACTGAAATGTTATGATGATCAATTTCTTAGTTTTGCATAATTTTGCTAACAGAAAAACAGACAATACATATATATTTCTTGGCGGAGGTAAGACTAATAGCATATACAATGAGGTCAACTTATCTGTACATTTGTGTACTTGATATTGTTGAAAACGTTGTA